GGGACATCACAAAACTCAAGGACTACACTTATGACTAATTGTATAACAGGGTATTTTAGTTTCTGTTCTGTGGAAAGTGTAAAGCATTCCAACAAAGGGTTTTAATGTGGATTTGTTTTTTCCACACCCTTGCTATTGATTGCTAAATGTAATAGTCTGATCATGACGCAGAATAAATGTCTTTTTTTTAATGTGCTGTGTAAAGTTAGTCTACTCTGAAGCCATCTTGATAAACTACCCCACAGTGTGAAGTTTAGAATTCCTTCAGGGTTAGGCCAGATTTCATTCAATTTATTTATATCACCTTAGAGGACTGCTTGGGGGCAGCGAAGAGATTTTCGGAAACCATGGTGTAGTTGAACTGACAGTTAACTATGTTAAGAACCTGGAATTCACCATTAAATGGTCACCCAAGCAGTTAAACAATTTATTTAGTTATAATTGGCATATCCTATGCAATATATGTATTTTGAATTAATGGTACCAGATAAAATTATAGATGGGAATGAAATTTATATATCATCCATGATCATGTGTATTCAATAAAAAGATTTTAATATCTTGAGAAAAAAAAAAAACCCTATACAGGGCCACTGTGGGTCAGAACCAACTCAACAGCATTAACAACAACTTTCTAGGACCAGCTATCCAGACTTACAAAACTGGACATGACAATATAGTATCCACATTTTATATCAAAGAATTTTTTCTTATATACCTCAAAGGTAGCATAAGCACTGGACTGTGAACCACAAGGTCAGCAATTGGAGCCCACAAGCAGCACAGCATGAGAAAGATTAGGCTTTCTGCACCCACAAAGATTTACAGCCTTGGAAACCCTACACAAGGTAGCTATGAGTCAGAATGTAACAACAACAACAATGACTTAAAACTATATTACCTTAACAAATAGAAACTGAATTTCTCTTAAATACATTTGTTTAAAGAAACGCCTTAAATCAGCTTAATGATGATGAAATTCTGCCAGCACAGATGCTGGCAGACACCAAGTCATCACAGAATGGTGGGAGCTGTACAGTTGCTGATTTTGCTCCTGTAGAACAGCCCCTCCTCTGTCTTCCCCTCAGAAATCTTTAGTAAGGTGACTCAGTTTGCAAATTTGGACTTTTGTGTGTTTGTGTGTTTGTTTTCCTCCTGTTTCTCATCTAGGTTAACTCAATGTGAACGAGGAACCACTACACACATCAAAACAAGAGTCCAGGTAAAAAATAGGCTCGAGATAGAGAAGTAGCCAAGAAATCCCAGAAACTGACAGGAGACCTTTGGCTCTCTTGAGGTTGCAGAATTGTGAAATTTGAGTCCCTTCCACCCAGGTCTCTGTCAGCTGCAAAGTTACTGTTGTTGTAGTGTGCAGTTAAGTCAGTTTCGGCTCATAGCAAATAGGGCTGTATAACAGATACTATCTCATTACAATTTTCTGTTAACTTTTTAAAGGCCTCTCATATTCTACTGGGCCTTACACATCTTTTAAAATCCTTTTAAATTCCTAGAAAACCCACACAGTGCAAATCACATAAACCAAAACAACAGACCTGCTGCTGTTGAGTCCATTCTGGCTCATAGTAACCCTAGAGGATGAAACAGACCTCTGCCTCATAGAGTTTCCAAGGCCACAATCTTTACAGAAGCAGACTGCCACATCTTTCGTCTGTGGGGCAGCTGATGAGTGCTGGATAGCAGGCGAGTGCTTAATCATTGTGTCACCAGGCTCCTTGTTAAGTACTAAGCAAGTGCTAAAAATAGTTCTTAATCGAAATTCCTAGTTTTACTCATAAGAAAATAGAAAACATTCAACTTCACATAAGTAAGAAAACTTTCCCAACTGTCTTCTCCCAATCATAAAAAATGTAATTTTCTAACCTTAGTAGATCCAGTTCGCCATTATGAGTCAAAATTTCTAACGATCCAATTCTGAACCAGGATTT